TGTATGTATGTATGTATGTATGTATGTATGTATGTATGTATGTATGTATGTATGTATGTATGTATGTATGTATGTATGTATGTATGTATGTATAGCCAACATAAGAATTGAGCTCCTACACAACGTATCAGGACAGGTGTATTGATTAAAAGAAAATTTGGTCGACTCTTTGAGACGCAGTTTTATGTAAATGAACTTGGCACAAAAACTGGGCTTAATTTAGCTGCGGAGGTCTCTGTCAAAGGTCACAGTCTCCACTCAGAGCATCACAGACAGATGGATGTCAGCTGCCAACTGCGGATGACACCATGTTAAGAATGCAAAGATGGGGGGATGGGATGAAGACATGTCAAATATGGAAGGTAAAAAAAAACATTTGGAATTATGTGTAAATCATAGGATGCAATAGATTTTTATTCAGTACTAAACACTTTACATACAATGTTTTACAATGGTTTGCATAATATTGTAAATTTGACAATTACTGTTTATTTATTTATTTATTTATTTATTTATTTATTTATTTATAACTTTTCTTTAAGCATTGAGAGAGCAAAATATAATTTGTAAAATGTAAACTTTTCTTAAGCAAAGTAAACCTATCTATTATCTGAAGATAAACAAAAATAATAAGCCAAGAGGGAGAAATTTAAGCCTTAATATGTTATTTAAAAGATTCAAATGTCAGTTTTAACATGTAACATTATGAAGGCAAAAATGTTTTTTATGTACTAATGCTATCTTTACAACACATCAAACAGGTTACAGAAAAAAAAATCATAGCACCATTACAGCAACAGTGAAGGTGGTAAATGATGTATTGGTTGCACTTGATAAGAAACTTTGTTGTGCAACACTGGTTATTGATTTGTCAAAAATATTTGACACAGTTTACCTTGACATTTTAAAACTTAAGCTTCTTCAACCAGGACTCTCTGAGAAAGCAGTGGCTTGGTTCTCAAAAATAGATCTCAATGATGTCTTTGTTCAGAACATGCCACTGTATATAAAGGAGGTACCACAGGGTTTTGTATTAGGTCCTCTTTTAGTCATTATTTATATTAATGATCTGGGTCTAAACGTGTCAGATTCTAGTTTGCACATTTATGCTGATGATAGTTATTTACTGCAGTGGATCAACGCTTGTTCAGGCTGTTGAAACACCGCAGAAAGCTTTTGATACCATCCAACATTCATTACTTAGGCTGAAACTTTTTCTTAATGCTAACAAGACAAAGCTTGTGTTGTTTTCCAATGTCAGGAGCCTTTCTTGATACCTTCAGTGACCATGCTTGAAGGAATTGAAAGACGTGTATAAATATCTGGGAATAATGATTGATGACTTCTTTACTTTAAARCCCCATGTGGAGAAACTGGTGAAGAGGCTCAAACTAAAACTAGGTTTTTACTTTCAAAATAAGTTGTGCTTTTATTTTAATGTGAAAAAGCGACTAGTGGCTGCTACTTTTTTTTTTTTTTTACCACTGTTGGATCATGGAAATCTTTTGTAAATGAAAACAGCTACTAAATGTCTTCAATTGGCACTGTTTATCATGCCTCTTTGAGGTTCATTRCAAACTGTAAGGCATTGACACATCACTCTGATTTGTACCCAAGGGTAGAATGGCCCGATCTGACCTCCAGAAAGTTCTGCCATTGGTACACATTCTTGTACAAGGCAATATGTGGACTTCTTGTCACTAACATTTGTACTTTGATTAAAAAGAAAAAGCACTGTCWCTTACTCCATCCGAYCGTAAGACTTTTGACTGAATTGGGAAGAAAGGTGTTTCTCCAGTCTGCACTTTCWACATGGAATACATTGCAGAAAGACTGAAAACTGAGTTAAATTTACTGAGTGCTTTTAAATCAAAACTGAAAGGTCTTGAGACTGACTCCATAACTTGTACCTGTTGTTTTTAATTAGTTTTAATTTAAATATTTTAGTGTTTTTCTATTTCATGTTTTTAAATTGTTTGTCTTATTCAGATGTGAAACTACTGTAACGACTGCATTTGCTGCTGCTGCCAATCTTGGCTTGGTCTCTCGTGAAAAAGAGGTTTCCAATCTCAATGGGACTTCCTGGTTAAATAAAGGTTAAAAACATAAAAGGCAAATTTCAGTACATTACAAATCCCACAGCTGTTTTATTTTGAGACAATCTCAAATGAATAAAAAATAAGTCAACTCTTACCTCTGCCTGGAATCCTTCTACCAAGATAGCCACCAGCAGGTTGAAGAGAACGTAATTTCCAAATGTCATGAGTGCCACAAAGTAAAGAGCAGCAACCGGTGAGGTGGCTGCCATGCCATTGTACAAAACCACATTCCAGTCCTCCTGGGTCAGAATCTTAAAGAATTATTTAAACACACACAATGAGTTAAAACTAAGCTTGTATAGAGTATTTTATTAAAAAAATAGCTACTGTTTGTACTAATTTGAACACAGACATTAAGCAGACAAAAATACTGTACTTTTAATACCATGTGTTGATTTATTTTATTTTTTTTATTTTTTTATAGTGGTTGCTGGCATAAAACATATCTTGCTAAAATGCAAACATTTATATTGTCACTAAAATCTTGAAAGAGAGAGAGCTTATGTTATTATGCATAAATCAGAGTGTGTAAAATCATTCTTATTATATATTTATCATCATCAGAGAATTCTCCATGGGTTATTTCTCACAAGTCAGAAGCAGAGACAAGATGACTACCTGAAAAACTGTGACAATGGCCCAGAGCAGGGAGTCAAAGTTCTTCCTGTCTGGTACTGTATCTCCTGTCTCTGTCTTCAGACTGAATTTACAGCCAAAGATGTGCATCCCAAGGATACTGCAAAATGAGAAACCACACACAATAAATATAACATGAGAGCCTTTGTGAAAAAAAAAAAGATTTTTCTTTATGATAAGCGGGGAGGGAAAAAATGAATGTTTTATAACAGTTATTATAAAGGTAATTGGAAGTATCTAAATGCTGCTATGCCTTAATGAGTTGCCTTATTTTACTTTAAGGTAACAAGCAAAAAATAAATTAAATAAAATATATGAAGTGGATCTTTTATTGTGCAATTAGTGCACACAGCTGTTATATCAGTGATATGTTTCTTTGACGTTTTGGTCTAATATACTAATTAACAGCAACTGCAAAACATACCYATTCTAATCAAAATTTGACATCCGCACTGCCATGCAAATGTTTAATTATCAGCATGTATATTATTCTGTGATATTAACACAGCTGAGTAGATACTGCAATACAAGTCACAACTTTTTTGGGAAGGAAAACTAATTTGCTTTGGTTTGACTGTTTATCTTTYTGTTTGAATTTTAGTTTTGTTGTTGAGCAGATGAACACAACACAAGCAACTTAATCCTGTGTCTATACACAAGTGCGTTTACACAAATACAAGTTTTTAGAAGTGTTTTAGAATAATTGACAGACTAGTCCTCTAACACTCAAAGTATAAATTACAAGTTTTAGAAGAGCAAAGAAGGAGGGAGATAGCACGTATCACTGTACCTATTTCATCCATTGAACATTTTGTTATGCACTTTTCAGCGTCTTTTTGAGAAAATTTAGCCAGGCCTTCAAGTGTTTTTTTGCTACTTTGATTTCTGGGTTAATACACTGTAAAAAATGAAATGTTGGATTTACTTTACCATGTCACGTTACCTGGTTCTACTTAACTGAGATGAGTGAATTCAAAGCAAAATACCAGTTTTTTTAGCCAAAGAACATGGATATGTTGCTTTGAATTTACTCAACTCAGTTAAGTGGAACCAGGTGACATAACATGGTTAAGTAAATCCAACATTTCATTTTTAGAGTGTATCTCCAACTGATCACTGGCATCCTRATAACTTTTTACATATGTCACTAAGTTGCAAACAATTTTAAAAGAAAAATAAAAGAAGCTGGTGGTTTGAAATAAAATTCCCACAAGACAAACTAAACTAAATAAACTACCATTCTTTGAAGGGATGCATATCACCTTCTGCCTCACGTGCTACATTTTTAAAGCCTTTGTGTGATCTGTTTGATCTGTGTTGGGGATGACTCTCAGCTACCACTATGTTTAATTTTAACTCATTATMTGTRAAACTGAATTAMTTAAAGCTGTTTTCATGTTGACTGAGAATGATTACCTGTAAGTGGTAAAAGGTAAAATGATTGAACTTATATATTGATAGTTTTGCTCATGTTTTTTTCRCTGGTTGATAAAAATTATTTGTTTAAAAAATGGACAAACAGAAAGTACACAGACAATAACATGAAGGTCCACTTTTYATATATTTGGTGGTATGTAATAGGGATCTATTTTATTTACATTTAGTTAAAAAACAAAGTTAAAACACTATTTGAGCAAAACATTGATCAATAGTATGGTTGTGCACATTACAACGTCTGCATCATAAATCCCCAACACATACAAACATATTTTAACTTACCTAAAGATGAAGATGAAGAGCATGAGTAACATACAGAAGGTGGCCACATTGTCCATAGTCTTCATCAGAACCACCAGCTGTCTTCTGAGAGCTGGCATGAACCTGACCAGCTTCAGGACCCTCAGCAGCCTGAATGTCCTCAACACAGACAAACCACCGTCCGACTGGCCGACGATCTCACAAACGCTGCAGGGAGATGCAAAAAACAAAAAGACAGTTAACTGACCAAAGAAACAATACTCATATCTTAAATAATTATCCATGCCAACTTTTTTTTTTTAAAAAGATTAGTATAAAAGGCTTGTCTCTGTTAAACAAAGCACTACACAACTTGGCATGAGTGGGTGGACACGTGCAATATTATTGGTTCAAATAAACTCTGGGTTAAATATATTGATGGTGTTTTTTATTGTTTTGGATCATATCCCAACTTCTGTATGATGAATAAATGTTATTGAAGGAGAGAGAAAAAAATAATAAACATGCTCAAGACTTGAAAACTTAATCATTATTTTTAAAGTTTCTGATTATTCTTTTAGGAGCAAGGACCATGTGGATCAATGTTGTGACATCATCAAACATGGATTCATTTTCCAACAATCAGAGGACGTACGTATATATGGGTTACACTCTCATATGAAAACTTTACCCTTCTCCTCAATCTGCAGGCTTACAGTCMTAAATCCCAACTAGACAGACACATTTGACCCAGTCACYATGATAACAAGGAGMCTAAAACCAYTTTCYTTATCTGACAGCGATCATCTCTGGAATTTGACTCTGTGTTCCTAACTTTCTGTGGAGCTCAGAATAACCACAAAACTGATGAAAACCACAGTTGATCTTGCGTCATTCTTTATACATCGTATAATCTCATGATTTTAAATGTGTTCTGTGTTTATTCAATTATGTCTCATTTAACTTATTTTTTGTTCCAGCAGTTAAATGTGGAAAAGACTCTTTAATTTTAAACATAAAGTTTTGCTGTTAAAATCATGTTACACACCCAACAAAGTATTTACAATGTTGGTTAGTTGTATTGAAAAATTACTAACTTTTGAGTGAAGGATTACAAAGTTAGATTTCAAAGTTCACACTTTTGTTTTTTTTTAAGTTAAAATACTTCTTGGTATTTTTCCAGAAAGAGCATGAGAGAAATGTGTATCCCTCTCATTGGTCAGTTCATTTAAACACAGTCTCATTGCAGGACCAAATCATAAAACTGTCGTAATTTGTCATCAGTCTTTGCTTGTAGCTTGGCTCCTRTCTGTCTTCTCTCAGTTTTCTCGGTCTTTGTCCTGCTTCAAATTTTCCTCTTGCTTTGAGTCCTTGCTGAAATTCTGCTTGGAGTCTCAACAGTCCTGTTTGGTCTGTTGGTTTTGACAAGAAAGCTCTCCCAAAACACTATAAAAAAGAAGAAATGYTCTCCCACTGAATAAAAGGAACCAAAGCAAACAGAAAGAGACTCACCTGATGGACACTCCATATGTAGGCTGCATAGAATCTTTAGCCTAACTTTATGGGTTAGTGACTGAACTTGTTTTATCAAAGTGATATATTAATCTTTTTTTTATTTAATCTGAAATACTGCAGATGAACTGTTTTCTTTTTGATTCTGTTTGCTGCTAAGACAGTTCAAACAGAAAAAGCTGAACCTGTCTTCATCTTGATCAGTGAGAACACGTTGCATGTTCTCCTTCATCTGAGGAAATAAATAATAACAATAATAATAATAATAATAATAATAATAATAATAATAATAATGCATCGGATGATTTAAAGGGGCGATATGTGCTTTCCAAGCCTATCTTTCAATTTTATACTAAGATAAAGTAACTGTCACATGTTCAGCCTATGAAAGAGCTATATATTTGCAAAAATCCCCAAAACAATTTACTTCTCATCTTGACAGTTTCTAAACGCCTTGAAATAGGTCTCTGTTTCTAAGAAAATCCAACCACTTCGATCACGCCCAGTTCGGCTTAAAGACACAACCCAGAGGAGGAGCTTTTCCCAAAAGGCGTTTCTGGTCCCCACCTGTCGTTTTGCTCCTCAGCATGACTGCCTAAAAACGCTGCAGGATTTCTCAAACATGCACGAATGAGTCAAAGCAAGGCTTTGGACAGGTTTTTTATGAGAGTATAACATTATAACATGATATAAAACTCAAAAAAGTTAATTTTACATGATATTGCCCCTTTAAACTCCTGGGAAACTGCCAAACCAACATGAGCCTTGAGGTACCAAGATTCGGCTACTGTTTCTACAAGCAGCGATACCCTCCTGGAGCTGGTATCGTGTACTTTATCCAAATGTTTTTGTGTCAAGGTCAGAGGTGGTCCTAAAGGGCCTCTGTCCTGYRTGTTTTACCTAYGTCCCTTCTCCAACTCACCTGATKCAGTGATTGAAACCACAATTGATTCAAAGCAGGTGTGTTGGGGAAGAGAAACAAGTAAAACATGCAGAATATTGGCCCTCGACGACCAGGACTGACCACCCCAGTCTAAGTAGACGGCTTTATTATTAGAGGGATTAGAAAAAATGGATTTTAGCTTTCATTTTTATTTTGTTATATACTATAGAAAATAAGTTTCCATTGAAATAAAAAAGTGATAGCTATCAAAGGTTCACTAAGCAGATTGAAATACCTTTGCCTCTGAACAGATAAAGAATGAATGGGGGCACACTCAAAGAGCATCTCTGCATGAATGGCTGAGGACATTCAGGTCGCTGAAGACAGGGAAACTGATGGAGTACCATGAGATTAGAAGACAGATATGTTCAATCAACTTGTATCTTCTGTGATGAACTGCACATTTGATCTTTTTTTTCATTTTCACATGCTTTGATGTGCATTTGATCTCAGTTTTTTCTTTTAATAGGGATCACAGACAAAGCCTCCTACCAAATGAAAAGGAAAACACACACATRGATCAAAGGCATAGCCATTCATGTGCCACCTCAGGCACACACAGCAAAAAACGAAACGTGTTTGTTGCTGTCTGACACTTTAGCATCGAAATCCATTCAGGTTGTTCATTTCAACCAGCTTGAATGCATGACACCTTGACAAAACATGAATAATTTAATGGTGCCCTCTCTTTCCTGAACAATCCGGGTATAGTACTAAAGCAACATAAATGAATTGCATAAGTCACTTATCTTTCTAAAAAGCTGACAATCTGTTAACTTGATAAATTAAGCACTATGTATAATGTATGTTACCCCAACATAAACATAAATTTCAGTGTCTTATGTCTGTAGTGGATGTTTGTGGAAAGAAAAGGCAACATAAATGTGTATGACAGTTTACACTGGGTGTACCTTATAATAACAATGATTCCATCAAAAACGTTGTAGGGGTTCCTCAAGTAGTTAAAGGAGCCAAAGGCTGTGAGCTTGAGGATCATCTCCAAGGAGAACATGCTAGTAAAGACGATGTTGCAAATCTCCAGAACATTTGTCAGTTCCTCTGGCTGAGYAGCAGAAAAATAAGCAGAATTAGAAGAAATGAGGAAACAAAGGGATCGTAACAAAAACAAAAAAAGAGTCAGTAAAGAAATGGTCAACTGAACATGAAAGACATAAAACTGTTTTAAAAAATCTGTACCAAGTTTTTTTAATATATGTTTTTTTCAGTCCTAAAAACACAAACAAACAAAAAAAAGTGTAATAATATGATCTGTGTWCCTACAGGAAACAAGCTGTGCTCTTGGTAAATTACAGGTTTCTAACCAACAGCAGATCTGCTCGCCGGCAACTTGTTTCTAATTTGCTCTGCTCAGAGTCGACAACTTAAGTCTTTATTGAAATGAGCTGCTTTTGCCTATGTTTGTAAATCAGTGCATTTTTTTTTTGTCTGTGGAATTAGACACACCAATCTGTGCTACTTATGCTTGGAGAATAGAGGCTAATGTGAATGGCTTAAAATAGCTGCTTTTTTAAAAAGACTGTGGTCTAGAAATACATTTTATATCTGCTAAATTCTGAAGTTTACAGCAATTTAGCACTTTGTTAGTTTACTAAAAGTTGTTGATCTCAGTGCCAACATGCTCAGTCTTGCTAAAACTCAAATATTAGCAGGAACATTTGGTTGTATTTATTTTCTGCTTTTCACCATATGCCTTTAACTTCACTTTGCGTTGCTTGCTGTGAGCCTCCTACTAATGTGCACCAGTATCTGTTGTCTCAGCTGTCCATCCTGTAAACTTTTATTCTTTCTGTTCTGGCCCAAAATGAAGAACTAAACTAAAGATACAATCTGATGAAACCAGGATTTCTAYCTCTTCATGATTCCACAGGGCTCTTGTGTATCTTGAACAATGAACRTTTTAGCTCCCCATAATCAATGATCACTGTGCACACTACATTTCCATGTATTTGTGTGCAGATGTGGKCATCTCTTTGTTCTGTTATTTGTCAGTCCTAATGAGTTCTTAGCAGTGAGGAAAATGGGCTAATGATGTATGCCCACCAGTGTTCAGACCAGTCAAACTSTGCCAGTAGACTCTGGAGATCCATTCTTTCAAACTTGATAAAAGACTTGAAGGTGTTTTTGTTTAGTTATTCAAGAACTTCAAATGAAAAGAAAGGATATTTGATCTTTCATTGTCTACTTGGAGGTGGTTGCTTCACGATGTCTATATAGAGGTGCAGACACAAAAAACTTTTTTATACCTCTTATGAAGACTTTATATTGTGTTAGATGTCCCTAAATGATACCACTGACTCTTTACCCACCGAGGTCACTAAATCCCATAAAATGCTTTTTGAAGGGTATGCCTCAAACGTCACATGTATCTTARATTAAACTTTTTTTTTCTTTTTTAGTAATCTTCATTAACCAGGTAAACCTCAATGAGAGATCACAGAAMTCAGCAGTGGATCACAGTAAAAGGACAGCTGAATAGGATTTTTTTTTACTAGTGTTCAACCAGAACGAAGAATGACTTCAGTTTTCTTTGCAGTCAGAGAAACGTCAGATTCCAGCTTACTACTTCCTCCCCATTAACACGGCAAAGTCTTTCTCTGTCACTTTCCTTCTGTCTCTCTATTTTTAGCAGCAGCCGGGAAGAGAGACGACCTACCACTGCGGCGGTGGCAGGCATGAGTGGGCGATGGTATAGCAAGAGCGAGAAATATTGATAGAAAGACAAAGAGTTCACAAAGCTGAACTGAGTAAAAGATAGGAAAGAGGTTGGAAAAAATGTATCTCAAAAGAGAAGATGAACAATCACTTTTATATTTTTTGGAGTCTAGGCGAATGTGAATATTTTCTCATAAAAATGACAAATGCTGTTCAGTAACCTTAGTGCAGACCTGTAGATTGAAGAATCATGATTTACATGAAAAGCAGATGAGGGGATGCAGAAAAAAAGAGAAGAATGCACAAGTGACACAAAATAGAAAGTTTTACACTGCAGAGCGACAGGCAGATAAACTAAGAGAGACTGGGTTCACACAGTAAGTARCATGGTTGCCAGCTCAAATTGAAGCTTGCTGGACAGCGTTTAAAGAATGCACACATCATTTATTTTAATGGAAGTGTACTCCTCCAATCAAAGAAAAGCTGTGTTCTGGCTTGCTTTTATCTGAAAGCTTTAGGTTTATACATAGTTTGGTTTGTGTTGAAGGTTACACCATGCATCTGTTACTGACTGARGGTTTTTTGTAGGGGTGTGAGATACTAGGAAATTTGGTATTGATCCAATACAAAGTAAATGCAGGGCTAGTATATCAGATACCAATACTGATGCCAATCAAGATGCCAATACCAATACTTTTTACTTGAAATGTCATGTTCATGAAAAAAAGATTTTGTCTTTATTCAATTATGGCGAGACAATAGTTTTAGGCAAAGAAAATGTTTTGTATTAATTATAAC